CTGCAAATTAGTTGCTATTTTCTCTCAAAAACAAAAGTGACCTTTCTTCCGCCTCTGTGAAAATGGCAAAATATCTCCATAGAAGTAGTGAAGCCAACATGTTGATATTTGTAATGTTCTTCAAGGAGGGATTTTCTCTCACCTTGCATCAAAAATTGATTCTTAATCCTAATTGTGAATACTTTTGAAAATATGGGGGAGTTTCCATGTTTTTGTCACAAAGAATCCTTGTGATAGTTGGCAAGGCTTTATTCTGTGCTCGGAGTGGTAATTTTTTGGAGGTCAGCAGGATAAGCGAGAGGAATCTTGTTCCAGCTATGCCATTGGATACAAATATTGAATAATATTCAGCATTTTTTCCTTGGAATTGATCTTGAGTCTTTTATTAAAGTCTAACACATTTTGCCTTCTTCTATATGCTCAACACCTTCATCAGTGCAAAGACTAAGCTCTTAGTCCTGCACGCACTGCAGTCAATGGAAAAGTTGGAATTGACACTAGTGAGTGCTGGCTCAGAATCAAATCGCTCCCATTCTAAAGCTGGTAGGAGAGGGCATTACAAATCAAAATGAAGCACATCTCTAGCTTGAGAATGATGGACCACAGTCAAATTGTATCTCCCCTTTGGCAATTCATTCTAATATCACAAGACTTATAGGCTGTCCCCTGATATTAAATAATAAAACCAGACTTTCCACTAGTGTAGAAGAGTTTGATTTACTTGACTTTACACCAGCAGAGAATCAGGTATTAATATTACTTAAAAAAACTGCTTAAGGTAGTATATTTCAGTGCTTTTTTTTCTTTCCACGACCATACTAATGGCAGGAACAAAGAACAAAAGGTGGAAAGACCATCAGGGGATCAGAGAAGAGTAGAGAATAGGTTAAACATTGTCTTTCAACATTTATCAGGTCATGAGTCCAGAAAACAATAAGGAAAACCCACCACAAAATCACTGTAGGGCCCACGCTTGAAGCCCTTACTACCATGTATGGACTGCTTATGAGTGATCATAATGCAAGTAGATCTGTTGACTTCAAAGGATGTTACTAACAGGAGTAATTCTTGTAGGACTGCAAAGTCATCTTTCAAAAATCATCTTGCTTTAATATTTGTCTCCATAATGAAATTGTATTGTTATAGAAGATAGTGTGTCATAGGATTTAAACAGCAAATAGTAATGCATTCATCTGATTCATTTCTTCCACTGATGAGGGACTGTAGGTACATCTGAGCCTCAGGTTTTCCATCTGTAAAATAGGGATAATATGCTTACCTACTTCACAGAGTGTTAGATGGCTAATTAAACAATGGACCTGATCCTGCAGTTCTGGATAGGCAATACTCTTGAAATCAGTTGTGCTTTTAGCCTAGAGAAACAGCAGGATTAGGATCAGTGTTTGTAAAAGGACTTGAGGGTGTAAACTGTAACAGATTCGATCCTACAAAGTGCTGAGCTCTATGATCCAATCCAGTAAAGCACTTGTAAATGTGTAACCAGACTACTGATGTACTCAAGGGCTGCGTCTAGACTGGCATGATTTTGCGGAAATACTTTTAACGGAAAAGTTTTTCCGTCAAAAGTATTTCCGCAAAAGTGTGTCTAGATTGGCATGGATGCTTTTGAGCAAAAAGTGCTTTTGCACAAAAGCATCCGTGGCCAGGCTAGATGCGATTTTGCGCAAGAAAACCCCGATTGCCATTTTAGCCATTGGGGCTTTTTTGCACAAAACAGTTCTTCCCTGTCTACACTGGCCCTCTTTTACAAGTATTCTTGCGCAAGAGGGCTTTTCCCCAAGCGGAAGTGTGAAACTATTTGCGCAAGAAGCACTGATTTTGTACATTACAAATCAGTGCTCTTGCGCAAATTCAAGCGGCCAGTGTAGACAGCTGGCAAGTTTTTGCGCAAAAGCTACTGCTTTTGTGCAAAATCTTGCCAGTCTAAATGCACCCAAGGTGAATAGGAACACTCATACTCAAAATTAAGCACAAGCTAAAGTGTTTTTATTGAATTAGAGCCTATGATCTTTGAGTGCTGCTGTTGTTAATTTTAATCCTGATGGAAAACTGGGAAAAATCTGCTCTTCTGAAAAGAAAGACAAGAAGAAACAGAATTAGGACTAGAACCAAGGCCTCACTTACAAATGTTTTGTATCTGAGCTAAATTTTCCTGTCTTAAAAATACCTAGTAAAGGGACGAGGGGGCAGGGGGAAAAGCTTTTATTTTGATATTATTGTTCAAACTGAAGGAAATCTTTGATGACAACTTGATCCAATACACCAGTGGTCCCCAACGCGGTTCCCGCGGGCGCCATAGCGCCCGCAGGGGCATTTGTAGGCGCCCGCCAACAACCCGGGCTGGCCCCGCTCCCGGCGCACTGGAGGCGCCGGCCCCA